CCCTCTCTGCCTCTGACACAGAGCCCTCATCAGAGCCTTCCCCAGACTCCAGACTGGCCCATGTTCCTCCCCAATTTCCTCACTGTCCAAATCTGCTGCCAGCTCCACTGGCGGGCTACAACAAAGAGTCTCAGACTTCTCAGTATCAGAAAGCAAAACATAGACTGAAACAAAATGAGACTCAGTCATGCAACACTACATGGAAATTGTAAATAATCAGGAACTACAGTGAATGTATTATTTTACTTAAGTAATTGAAATATAAATGTTGCCTAACAGCAATTCAAGTGACTCCCTGAATTCCAAGTAGACAATACAGTGGATTCACCAAGAAAGATGTTTCCTCCTCCTTCCCCCCCCCTCTCTTTTTAAGTACACATATGACGGTGCATCGTAGCTTATAAACACATGGTATTTGGCCTCCTTGCTATTCTCAACATTTGGAATTCCTAAACTGCGCAAATTAAACAATAATATTTTATAAACACACAATGGGTTTTGCTCACTGCTTTGTTAACATAGAAATTATACAATGCTGACATTCATGTAAATTTTGAAAAGTAAACAAGAGGCCACGTTTGAAATAAAGCAAATGCAAACCAACACAGGCGAAAGGCGTGTTGTGCTGGGCACCTCCACCTTTGTCCGACAGCAGCTGGGCCTCCCTCGGAGAAGCATAATGGAATAAAGCTCAAATTGTAGCTAAGGCAGCCTGATCCTTTGTAACTCTAAAACCTTGTTTTACACCTCTCTGTAAACAAAGGAGAGCTAAACAATAATTGGCTAGCTGACCATCTATACTCATTTAGCCTGTAACCTGCTATTAGAGTTAAAAGAAGTTTGCAGCAATAGTTCCTTGGAGGAAAGAGAGAAAAGACTGTATTTAGCCCTTTTAATGTTGGTAACAACTGGTTTGTGTATGTGGGGGAGAAAAGCTTTTGTAACAAGGGATGGGAAGCAGTTTGAGGAAACTCTCAGGAATGCAGTTCAAGATGATTAAATAGTTACTTTTCTATTTTTATTTATTTATGGGGGGGCATTCCTGTTGAAGGCAAGCAAGCCAGCAGGCTATCCAGCTTTTAATGTGCTTTCCTAACTTTGTTGGCAAAATAAGCATTTTAATAGCAATAGCACTTAGACTTATACATCACTTCACAGTGCTTTACAACACTCTCTAAGTGGTTTACAGAGTCAGCATATTCTCTCTCCCCCCCCCCCAATCTGGGTCCTCCTTTTACCCACCTCAGAAGGATGGAAGCCTGAGTCAACTATGAGCCTGGTGAGATTTGATATGCCAAACTGCTGGCAGCCGATGATCAGCAGAAGTAGCCTGCAGTACTGCCCTCTAACCACTGTGCCTTAACCATGGTTCAGGGTTTGAAATATCTAATTACCATCATTTAGACGGGCCAATTTGTTTCCAGCTCTACAAAGGTCAAGCCTTCCAGATGCCTGTCCCTTAATTTGACCATAAGTGCCTCTCATTTGGTTGAATTGGGCCTCCTAGATACTTTGTCAGAAGAAGATCTGAGGCCCCAATCATCATGAGACCTTGCAGTGGGACTGTAGATTCGTTAGAAGACGCACCGTAAACAACCCAGTTTGAAGTTAAAGGATAGGAAGCAAACCCTTCAGCCCTCAAGACCTTGTGAAGCACACAATTTCAACCATCACCCCAGGTTTTACAGTTGCTTTTTGCCATGTTCCAGATGTCTGGATTTGAATTCCCAGAATTCTCAACAATCATGCTGGCTGAGGCATTCTGAGAATAGAGGCCCACACATTTTGGTTGAAGACCAGAGTAAAGATAGGCTTTGTTTCAAGCAAGTGAACCAAACTGGGGTGTCCTGGCTAAACTATGAGATTAGAATGTGGCATAGCCAGGTTCAAGACTGCTTTCAGCCATGGAAGCTCATTGGGTGATTTTTTTTTCTTCAGCCCTGGATGCAGTGCTATGGTATGACCTAAGCTCTTGGAGAGAGAAAAAATCTAAAATATTTACTTTTATTGTTTAAACCACGTCACATTTCATAATCACTGAAATCCACAGCATCGTCATGACTACAGAAATACAGCTGCAGTTGTTTTTGTTGTTCTACAGTAAATCAGATTTATTTGTGCATTAGTGTCAATTTTTGTATGAGTTATTGTGTACACTCAAACATACACGTTTTAAAATAATCACCAGAAATGTGCCTGTGGATAACCTTCCAAGATTAAATCTTTATAGCCTCATGACCCAAATGTTGACTTCTGGCCCATTTACTTCTGTCCCCACCACCATCAATCTCATAGTCCTTCTCTCCACCTCCTGTCCAGCCTTGTTGTATCATGGGCTTTGTAACTACAGAGCAATGGGACTGGAGGTCTTGGAGCCAGTGGCCTAATCTTTTCAGATTTTCATATGTGACCTCTTTCAAGAGGCAAATCCAAAAACGCCACCAATGAATCATGTGACTAAACTAGAAGACTTCCAAACCTTTGAAGTATTGTAGAATGGTTGAAACTGCACCATTCCAGAACACACAATACTGTCCAAAAATCTTAGGCCATCATTAGATTTGTTGTTGTAGCAATAGTATAATGACCATATAGAATTATGGTCTCCTTATTAAAAAATAACTAGAAAATATAGGTCATTTATATACAGTATTCAAAAACAAGGAAAAGCAGAAAAAACAACTTCCATAGGCTAAAGTAGCAAGTAGGTAATGTGACCACCCCTTACACAACATTATCCATTATATGCAACAGCAGACCCTTAGCTCCTGTAAACCTAAATGGAACAGAGCCCGAAGTACTGTCATTGCTAATACCTGTATGTGTCTTATTTAGTTTCCATTTAGTTTTAAGGAAAATATATGTAAATGTCCTCTTTCTAGATATGTCACCTTATTTACAACTACCTTAGCTTAACTTGTTCTTGGTATTTGTTCATTCAGGAACATGCACCATACAAAAAATCTTAGGGTGGATGAATGGCACTTTCAGGTACACATAACATCTGGTGATATATTGGAGACACAATGATGCCTACCTCACAGAGAGGACAGTACAAAGGACCCTGAGATACTCTTCAGAAGAAAGGCAGAATAAAGAATTATTGTGTTTGCAGCAGGGGTGGGTTTTTCGCCCTGTTCCAACCGGTTCGGTTGGAACGGGGCCAGCGGCGTCCTCGTGCACGCGCGCGGTGCACGCATGCGTACTAGCGTCTGCGCGATGCTCCAGCTGCTCCTGGACGATCGCGCAGGCGCTGTATGCGTCCTGCGCATGTGTGGAAGCGCAGAACTCATCAAAACCGGGTAAGGACCGCGGGTGGGCGGGCGCGCCCTTCGCCGTTCCCGGAAGTTACTTACTTCCGGGTTCGGCGCCCAACCAGTTCGCAGGGACCGCCGCGAACCGGTTGAAACCCACCCCTGTTTCCTTCCTTCCTTCCTTCCTTCCTTCCTTCCTTCCT